CTTTACCCGGATTTTTTCCCAACCGTCTCCCCGCTCTGTCCCCACGGGGGAACAGAAGGGAATAAGAAGTTTCATCCGTCCCACCTTTTATTTCATAACGGTTCCATCTGTCACCGTATTTGTGATAGTGGGACCGATGAAACTTTATTCTTACGTGGGGACAGAGAGGGGTGACGATTGGGAATAATCCTTTTACCCTCTTATAGTGGTTCTGCATTCTGCTACCTCTACAAAATGTACGCATTGTGATACTAACGGTTATAGAAATCCAATCGAACTATATCAATAAAAGTACATGCAAAGGAATTAAAATACATAGAGGGGGCATATTTCAACATTTGAGACATTTTTTACATGGTAACTAACGATATCTAATTGTATTTAAATTGATTGCTATTAGGTGTTATTAAATAATACTTGAATTCTTTTTATTTTATTTTGTAACTGTCTAGTATATATAACAAAAGGTGGTGCTTGTAATCTTGTAAAACGTTTTTGATGGTTTTTAATCTTGACAACTGATATAATACCTTTTAGAGAAAGTGCCAGTAGTAAATTTTGTTCACTATGCCTCGTCTATATATTTTTAAATGTATTTGGTCACATGTTTTTTTAAAATTCAATTAAAGTTTGTATGCTATTTTTATTTTCACTTTATTTTATGAGGAATCCAATGCTTTGTGGGGATAACTCTGTAATGGTTTTCTATAGATGTAACTTTCCGTTATGAATTCAAATTCATAGTACATTGAAATTTGCTGTTTTCGTTATTGTCATAAACTAAATCCAGCTGAACAGCTGAGTTTACTAACGTTAGTTACACAATACGTTAATGTTTTTTTGGAAAATTTCGTTCACTTACGATTTAGGACTTTAAAACCATTATCTAATATCGAGGTTGACATATATTTTAGTTATGAATAATTTTATATAATTTACAGTCGATATTACTATTGTTTGGTTATGTATTCTTTGTAATCTATTCATTTTTTTATATTTTCAAGCGTTTTATTTTTTTTATATCTACTTCGAAGCCGCGATAAGATGGTAAACCTACTCATTCGACGAAAATAGTTATATCTCATAAGAGAAATTCTATTCGTCGTATGATTGGAAATGTAGAGGTAGCATAAAATAGACGCACGTACAAATTCTTCTTAGTTTTTACTCACTTTATTGCGATACCGAGATGGAAATGAACATTTATGTAAACTTATTAATTGAATTGTTCATAACCTTACATTTTAATTGGTATTGCGACCGCATTACAAGTTATCACGTAGTACCATTTAAGACGCTTTAGGGCCTATCCCACCACTGGCCGATAGACTCAGGTGACAATAAGGTAACAAAATCCGATATTTCCATCAAATATTTTACATGTTGGATTATCAGACAAATTACAATTTAGTGGGACAGGCCCTTGGTGTTAAATCTTATTTTTAATTAAACGCTTTTTAGCTGATTTTAAGCATGAACGGTTTACAATTTACTTTTCTTAAGATGATTAGTAATATGAAGTACACTAAGTGTTTTATTAATTATAGATTATTTTAGTAATTTAGTACACTAAGCGGCACTCGATTATCTTACATCGCATGTTGACTTTTTAAAATCTACTATGAAATCTGACTAGGTTTCTACTGCTGAAACAACCTATGAACCTAATTGTTTTTAGAGGTTTGTCGGCAGTGGTAACTCACTATTACGCATGCTGTTTGCATTCTTGTTATAATTGAATAGTTCTTAAAGGTTAGGATTTTTAAGTTTTTGTACACATTTAGATATAAGTTTATATTTGTTACTTCCTTTTCGCTTATATTAATCTTAAATAATCTTTACGCTTTTTTTTACTGTTTTAGCGCTGTAGATGTTAAGAGATGTTTTATTGTCTTTTTTAAACAGAAAAAACAAGCTAATATTTTTCAACGTACTTTTTCAGTTGGATCCGCCGACGTCGAGTTACAACACGAGTTACATCAACCACAGTTCACCTCACTCGCCGCAGTCAACCAATTCACAACTTACGTATTCACAGGTATGACCTAATAGGACTATATCACCAGCTCTGAGCCTAACCTAAGTAAGGGGTGACTAAGCCTCAGACAACTACGCTAGGAACTGCGTGTTGGATGACTTCACACCAATCTTTTAATTTCTTTGCCGATATGTGCAAGGTAAATTATGTACATATGGAATTCACATTGGTACATGGCAAGATTCGAACCCAAGAATTTACAAGTCAGGGCTTAAACCCCTAAGCCACCGACGTTCTTTCGCTTTACTAATGGAGTGCCGACTAGAGATTCTGTTAAGATAAACAACACACATAGAATTTGTAACTTGGAAGCCGAATTTCTAAAATAATCACAACTAATAATAGATTTCGCATCATATGACGAAAACAGTAAGATTTTGACGTGTTACTTGTGGAATCTATCTATGTAAGTGTGTTTTTCGTTGTGACAGGCGTCGCATATGCAACACGGGCAGCATATGCAGCACGGGCAGCACGTGCAGCATGGGCAGCACGGGCAGCACATGCAGCACGTGCAGCACGAGGCGCGGCGCGCGCGCGACCCCGTGCCGGGCGGCGGCGGCTACCCCCCGCTGCCGCTCGCCTCGCCCTCCGCGCACACCGGCCCCGCCACGCCCGCCAGCATACCTGACATCATACTCACAGGTCGGCCCCACGCACATCACTAATTATTATAAAAAAATAAGTTTTACTTTACTTTACTACAAACTTTACATCAAAAAACTTATTAGAATTTTCTAAGTTAATTGTACAACTAGATGTTCCCTTGCGGCTTTATCCGCATGAAGTTATAATCACTATATTTATTTGATTGCATTTATCGAATTTTCTATTAGATATGTCATTATTTAAATGCTCAAATGACAAGGAAGTCTTTGATATTGGATAACAATTACCGTTACCATAGCAAACTGCCAATAACAGCAAAAATTATTTGCTGTTATTGGCAGCATCGTAGTTTTTGTCGCTTGTGCATGATGGTTTTTTTCAATTTATTTATCCCTAAATTTAATAGCGTGTCATAAGTGTAGGGCTTTCTATTAAAAAAGGCTTTATTTTAAAAATATGCTGTGATTACTAACATCGTACATAATTAAATAGTGTCTGTTTAC